GGGCTTCGCCTGGCCGCCGGTGACCGAGCAGGGCTGAGGCTGGGTGAGGCTTCGCGCCCTTCCCCCCCGCCGTGCCTCTGCCACCACCGGGCTTTTCTTGGTGGTGTGGGGCTGCCCAGGGCAGCCGCAGCCCAGGGCCTGTTTTGTGACAACGGACGCTGGGAACGGAAAGTGTCAGGAAAACACTTTGGTGTCCTGAAGTAGTTGCATTTGGGGGGAAAAAATGAGTGGGTACGTGTGGTTGGATGGGGGAGGGGGTGGCACAGCTCGCTGTACCTATAGATTTCCTCATTCTTTGAGCTCACAAGTCGTGTCAGTGCTTGGTGTCCTTACAGGGCCTGTTTTGTGACAACGGACGCTGGGAACGGAAAGTGTCAGGAAAACACTTTGGTGTCCTGAAGTAGTTGCATTTGGGGGGAAAAAATGAGTGGGTACGTGTGGTTGGATGGGGGAGGGGGTGGCACAGCTCGCTGTACCTATAGATTTCCTCATTCTTTGAGCTCACAAGTCGTGTCAGTGCTTGGTGTCCTTACTGGGCAAGGAGAAAACTAAGGAGCAAACGTGGGGGAATTGGTGTAAGAGATGGAGCTGAGCCCCCCCCTCAGGGAGCTGAGCCCCAGCCTAGCGCTGCCTTGGCGTGTGCACCCGTTTGTGAAACGTGTCTGAGAGAACCAGCGTTAACACGTGGGTGTGACCGCGGCGCGCGCGGGCGAGACGGCCGTGCCGTGGGGACGGGCGTTGGATGCAGCGTGTTTTCATCCTTGGGCAGCTACGGAAGAGCAGCTTTATGGAGCGGTGCTGCTTCAGAACGCTTCCAGAGTGATCGTCCTGTGAAACTTGGGGTTTTCTGAGTTTAGTAACAATTTCAAATGAGCTCCTACAGTAATATTTTAAATATTATGCAAATAACTTCACTTTGATTTGTGAGCTAAAGGGCTTTTTAGCTACTGAGTGTTATTTTAACTTAAATTTCCTTGTGTGCCTCGTGTTCTGAAGAAGGGAAGAAAAGACACCCAACTCTTTGTTGTAGAATTGTGGAATGGTTTGGGGTGGAAGGGACCTTAAAGATCACCTAGTTCCAACTCCCTGCTATGAGCAGGGACACCTTCCTTCCACTAGAGCAGGTTGCTCAGGTTTTCGTGCCTTGTTCCCGCTGCCCACCTATTTCTGAGCATTTCCAGGGTGGCAATGGGGAAGGGCTTGTTTCCTCAGTGCCAGTTTTCTCCCATAGTTACAGAACGGGGCAGATTCCCACCATAGCTCCCAGGGCGTGTTTTATAGCAAAGTTCCAACTCCTGAAATCTGAAAATGCACATAGTATGTTCATGTAACGTAAACGATGTGATAGGACCAGGGATGAAAGGACGAGAGGTGTCCAGTGGCACAGGGCAGGCTGAGCGACTCCTCTGCTGTTGGGATGATGATTCTCCCACTTGTGTAGCTGATGTTCTTCTGTGGTGGTTCAGCCCTTTGGAAGCTCAGCTAGTGCCAACGGAGAGGATGCAGGTTTCCTCTGCGCCTCCCCTGCCTCTAACAAACACCTCGTTTCTTGTGGTTGGCTGCGTTAAGCTTTAAGGGTAAATATGGAAGTGTTCTGCTGTCAATATGTAGAACTAAATCAGATGGAGCAGAATCCACAGGTAAACTAAAGTGTTAAAGAAGTTAAAGTTGGTATAAAATCTATGACTCTCAGGTCTGTGTATAGTTATGTCCTCCTACCACTTCTTTTTCCTTGTCTTGTATAGCCTAAAGTTGCGTTCAGAGGTGGCAGTCGCTGCTGGAGTAGTGCAGAAGCTGGTGGCCGGCTGACTGATGTGTTCAGTGGCGTAATGACAGGCTCTGGCTCGCTCTATGGTTGCTACAAATCACAGGTTCAGTTGATTATAAATTAATTTTTTTTCTCTCTGTGTAAGAGTTTGGGTTGCTTGTAAACAAAAAGGGCAAAAAATATTTCTAATACAGTTGCTTATACTGGGAAACATAAATCACTGTGTTTGATTTATTCATAATAAATCTCCATTGTTGTAATGTTCATCAGAAAGGACAGTGACTTTTTAATGCAGTCACAGATGAAGCAATCGATAGTATTTTCCTGTGTTCCTTGTGGGTCTGTTAGCGTGAACAATTGCAGATGAGCAAATGACTTATTTTCAGGAAAACTAGGAAGTCAGTAAGATGGAGAAGCTTAGGCATTGCAACAGATACTTCTGTGGCATACCCCAGATGTAGAGTCCAAACATTCATATAAACCAGCCTGCTGAGCAGGGGTTCTTAGTCTGACCAGTACAAAATGCCAGGACAGCTGAGGACATGAGCTCGCTCTCTTCGTTTTTGCCTGTCACGGCCGTAAACTTTCACTGAGGTGAAAGACTCAGATGAAAATTCATTCCTCAAGAACAGACCTATTGCTCTATTCAAGACTTCTGTGGCTTTGTTCTTCCATGTCCCTCAGTCCAGCACCTGGGCATCTTTTTTTACTTACAGAAGTATTTTGAGACATGGGGAACTGACATGTGGAGGCACCTGCCCATAGTTGGGCAAACGCCTTACTGGGAGTAAAACCTGGTGTTGGGTGTCACTTTCTGTAGCTGCTAGGCTGCTTTGCTCCACGAAGAAGAGTGTCGTGTATCTTTAACACTTAACCCTGCAAAAGCACCATTAATTCTCTCACTTACTAAGAGATAAGAAAGTACATTGTGTTTAAACCAAACAAGCAATTGCTTCTTTTCACTTAAATTGGATAAAGACCCTTCCTCTAGAAAAGAACTAGCTGTAAGTTTTGTTCAGTAGCTTAAATAACCTGCAGTGACTGGGAGGAGGGGGATTCTCCCGATTCCTGTTGGTGATCATCTGTTAGAAGCTGGTGCAGACGTTTTAGGCTGGTGTGGCCTGACATTTTTACTCCTACATGTAGGTGCAGGGCAGTTGTCACCAGCAAAAGGTACCTGCAGCGCTGGGTCCAAAGTGTGTGCTTGCTTCTCGTGCTCTGGTAACTCCAAGGGTGGACTCGGTTACCACCACATAGAATGATGAAATGACAATTTGATGTGTTTGATATTAAAATCAATGCTTTTATTGGACATAAAATGCAGAATGAAGAAAACGTAGAGCTACCTCAGACCTACAGTTCTTCCCTTTCAACATCGGAGTACTCTGTGCCCGTGGATTCTTCCCTTTTGTATGCGCCATGGTCCTCGTGTGGGGATGAGCCGAAGCAGCCTGCTGCTCCTCAGATCCATGGGAAGTCCAGGTAGTCCTTAAGGTGTTGGTGGAGCAGAAGGATTGTATTTTATGGTTTATTTTAACATATGAAATATTTTGAATGAAGTAATTTATTGAATATGCAATTTGGTTTCAGGATTCAGCTTGAAAGCAATGATTACGGCAGTGAAACAGATTTATATGGACTTGTGTCTGACATCTTGGAGGAGCAAGAGAAATCGCAGCCATGTTGTGCTGAGGGGTGAGTGTGTTGCCGTGCAAGCACTGCTGGCGTTCTCTGACAAAAATGGCCCCGGCTGCTCTCGGGATCTGTGTCTGTCCCTCGTTGCTCTGCTGCTGGCAAGTCCTCGCGCTCTTTACAGTTTCCATTCCTTCCCCACCCCCCCCCAATCTAATTTTTCGCCTGTGATACTTGAAAATTTTGCTCCAAGTACTTAAATTACATGGTAGCATCTGGCTTTTTGGGTATTTACAGAACTTTTTAATTGGAATTTTTAAATAAGTCCATAACAAGCATTGTGGAAATGCTGCATTCAAAGAAATCTCCTTGAATAGATGCATTGGCTTTTTTTTTTTTTTAAGATCAAGATTGAATTCAGACTTAGGCTTCCTTCTTAATTTCAGTTCATAGAAAGAATACACAAAACACACTCTTGCACACTTCCTGAACTGGCAAGAGAGAAGAATTCCATGCAAAATGATTGTGTCTTGATGTTAGTGCTACCTAAGCCGTATTTGCATGCGTAAATGTCAGATTTATCATGCCCATATTCTAGCACCAGAAGAAACTGTTAGATAGTCATCATAACTTGACACAGAAGGTTCAGATCCAGCATCCCTGAGGTGCTTAGAGAGGAGAACTTCAGAGAGAGTCAGTCTTGATCGGGAGAGAGCTTACGAATGCCTTTGCTTCCAACCGTTGAGGTGGATTTCTGTTGTCGGTACTGCCAGATTTGGCCGTGACTATAATGACCTCCAGGCACAATTCCATTTTTGACTCAGTCTGTTCACAGTTTTCCTTGACAGTCAGTGACTGGTTGTCCTGTGTTAATCCATGGTAATTAGTGGGAGGAAAGGAAATGTACTGAGATGCTTATTCTCGATTTACCTGCAGGAAGCAGTGTAAGCCAACGTAAAGCACAGGCGATTCTAAAGCAGTAAGCGAGATGATAGAGGAGTGGTTTGTCTGCAGTGCTAGCACATGGCTTTGAGAGGTTGTGGGTAGTTTGGGAAGTATGGTTATCTTAACTTGTTGCTTAACCAGGAGTATTCTGGTGGTGACGGCTAGTAAATCTCTTGATGGCGCTGACTGACTGTAATTTGGTACGTACGCATCGCTTGCAGCTCAAAGGTGTTGTACGTTGCTCCTAAGGGTGCATGGGTGGGTTTAGGCGAGCCAGAATTGGTTTTCCCCTCTAGTTAAGGGGAATTGCAGTGATGACAGCAGAAGTTGGAGTAAGACATTGTAGAATCAATCAAGAGAAATGGTTGGGGGAAGAACTGGGGTTTTAAACCTGTTTCTGCATTTAGGAGTGGAAGAGGAGCACCGCAGATCAGAATCTAACAGTGTATTTCTTGTTTTTCAAGGAGTTGCCCTTCCCACTTGAAGTCAGTATGGCCCATGAATGCACCCAGAGTCATAGACCACCATGACCTGTTGCCAGAGACTAAAAGACCAGTTGTTGGGGCTGTCCCCCCGCAGGGCTTTTACAGCAGCGAATCTGTGTCTGCTGCTGAAAAGCAGTACTTGCAAAGCGGTAGCCTCGCGGCGCAGCAGAGAGTAGATGAATGTTACCGCGGGTTTACCGGCATAGAGCTCGACGAGCAGTATTTATACCCTTCTAGGAATGATCATGCCAGCTGTTGCAACATGCAGACTAATGAGAATATTAAGACAACACCCATCTATCACAACTACCCGTGCATAAAAAACACCTTTACACCCCAAGTTGGGTGTTCAGAAGTAATCAAAGACTCGGGAGCCAGTGCTTATTCTTACGGAAGGGAGAAGGTGTGTCCCAAAGGAGCAGACGTGCAGTCGCACCAGAAGCAGGCAGAGACGTTTCTTCCGCAGTTTCACAGATATAGTGAAAACCCAGATTATAGTAGATACACTGAATATTCTCATGCTAGTAAGGCAAAGCCAAACAAGAGCAGCAATTGTAGCCTCCAAGAAAGAAAGTTAGGAACCACTGAGGCACCAGCTCTGGACACAGAACCCTATACTAAATTATTTCAAGTTAAATCAGGAACTCAGAAAAAAATAGAAGATAGAATTTCAGATTACCAAACCCTTACATTTCCCAAGGCTGTAGGTCTTCTATCAGAAAAACAGTTTGCAAATGAAACTGCATTCTGCCGTGATTTTGGGCAAAAATATGAATATGGACTAAAATCTTTCGCAGCTTGTCCAGGGAATAGTGACTGTGCAAATGGTGTAGAAAAGCAGCAGTTTTCCAAGTCCAATCTCCAGAATTCTGGATATGGTAAATCACTTCCATTGTTGCCAAACGCAGCAAACCCTTCAGCAGGTGCTCATGTGAGGCCAGCTTGGATGAACATGCCAACCAAAGCCCCTGCTTCCATCCCATTTCAGAATCCAAGTCCTTTGTTGAAACTGAATAATCATTTACCTGCTTTTCCAAAAAGTTCCAGTCGTTCTAATGATTTTTTTCAGTTACCATCTTCAAATTTCCCTTTAAATAGTAATTTATCTCACAAGTACTGTCAAGATAATCCTTCACTTTTTTCAAGTCTCGATTCTGGTTATAATGCTGCAGAACGAGCTCGCACTGCTGCTTGCATGGAAGCACTAGTTAGGAGCGGAGAAGAGAATCTCATTGGGTATTTAAGTGAAAAGAAATTAAAGCAGCCAAACGGATTCTGTGACAGTTACTCAGCTCAGCAGTTTGGGCTCATTGAAAATATGAACAAACACCGTTTCCAGCTGAAGCCACAGAGGGAGCGTTATGATCCGGAAGGACAAAACCACGCAGATGGGTTGTTGCCGAACGCGTACCAAGACGTGCCGGAGTCCCAGGGTCAGTTCCATCTCAGGCAGGGAAGCGGAGACAGTGTCGGTCCCATGACTTACCTGCAGGCTCCCAGCTTTTCCAGCCCTGGCCTGATGGGCGACTTCAGACGTAACCAGCAGCTTGGTTCAGGCGTGTTCCCCATGAGATCAGCTCACCTGTTGGGCCATTCCATCGTCCCTCTGATGGAGCCTCACGACTTGTTCTCCCATGAAGATTTAAAATGCTTCTACCCTTATTTTAGCGATAAGATGTCACCGTACGGTGACAGTTCTTTTGCTGGTTTGGTACCAGCATTTGGATTTCAAAGGCAAGTTAAAAACCATAGTGGGCCTGCCAGCGAGCTGCATGTTAGACTAGAAGAATGTTACGAACAGTGGAGAGCTTTGGAGAAAGAAAGAAAGAAGGTAAAACCCAATGGAATTAGTATGCCATATCGCAGTTTGATGTAGATCTCATCCTACTCAGTCCAGTTAGAGATCATGGGTAACTCACTGCTAGGAGTTGAAATGCTTCAAGGGACTTCAGAGTTAAAAATTTGCTTCCCTGTCTGGGACTGAAAAGTTTTGAAGGTTTGTAGCCTGTTTGGGAACGTGCTGATGTTTATTGAATGTTGCACTTAAAGCGGGAACCCAGTGACTTTGTCAGTCCCTGGGGTGGGGCTGGGGAAGGTGCGTTGTGTGTCTAACAAAGCCATGTTACACTGGTTTTTTAGATACAATAAATATAATGCATCTGGAAACTTTGGAAGCAAATCCATTAATTATATTTTGAATTGGAACTAAACTTTAATCCTTTCAAGAATTAATTAAATTTCTTAGGCCCTACACTTTTAGTTCTTTCAATGGGTTCTTCTCACCTCCTGTTTCCCTGAAGTTTTAAACCTAAGATGTACTTGAAGGGGCTCTTTTGTCCCCCAGAAGGGGAGGCTGAAGAAAAAAACTACCTGAACTAAAGGGTCGGGTAGTTCTGCCTGAAGCCCTGCCTAAAGCAACTGCCCTGTTCGGCCGTCAGCAGAAGTGCTTCAGGCTACCCGCGTCCACTCTAAAAGCTCTTAATTTCACCACTTTAGCTGGTACTGAAATTCAGAAACGATCTGGAGCCGAGACTTTGAGGGGGAAGCTTGACCGAGGTAGCTGGGAGCGGTGGGGCCGGGCCGTTTGGCTGTCAGCCGCTCTGGAAGCGCTGCTGTGCCGGTCCACCGAAAAAA